AGAATATAAAATGAATTTGTACAAGTCAATAAGAAACAACATGGTAGAAAAATAGGCAAAAGACCTTGGAACATACATTTGCCAGAAGAGAAATATTAGTGACTCACTGATATGTGAAAGCTTGTTCAGCCTTATTTGTTAGGAAATGCAAATGAACACCAAGTTGAGATGCCCACTAGATAGGCGAAACTTAACTGGCGATCCTAAATTGTGAGGGTGTGGATCCACAGGGACTCTTGTGCTCTGCTGGTGGGAGTGTAAAATGGCATAGCCATATTGGAAAACTTAAATATTCACACACCCTAGGACCTATCAGTTCCCCTCCTAGACATACCCTAGAGAAACTCTGTTTAGAATAGCAAAATCCAAAAATATCCAAGAAATGCCCATCGCTAGTAGAATGAATAAATGAATTGTGGTATATTCCTAAAAAAAATAGCAGTGAAAAGGAGTAAAGTATAGTTACATGTAATAGGACGCATGAATCTTAGAAATACATTTAGAGAGAAAAGCAAACAGAAGAATAATATATCTGTGTGATGCTACTTTTTAAAATTTAAAACCAGTAGTAGATTGAAAGAGGATATATATCAATTTATTCCCATTCTGTGAAGCAGCCAGGAACAGCTTACCATATTTCTCTGCTTGCTTCCTCTCCCCTGCTACCTGACTGGTTGTGTTCATTTGGAATTTCAGTTTCAGACTGGTAGCTATTACTATTTTAATGTTTAAAAAAGTTATTGGATCATCATGTTTTAATCAAGTACATCTTTAACATATTGCTGATCTGTATCAGCTAGCAGAGCAGTGATTTCTTCAAGCTGCCCAACATCAGTCACACCATGTGGGGTCACTCTATGATTGTATTCTGGCAGCGACAACTTTGTCAATAATATGATAGCTTGTATTTTCATTTTTTATTCAAATTATTCTTTTCCCCTAGCTTCCTAGCTTAAATTTCCTGTGGCTCTGAACCCCTTGCTAATTTGCAAGGCTAGATTTTGCGTTAGGCAATAGAAATCAGTACCTGAGATGATTATATATCCTTTTTTAAGATGTTATGGCTTGTGATATACACAGTAGAATCTTGTAAAGAAAGAAGTTAGTAACTTTAGACTTACAGCTGATCTGAAACATTTAGTATTTTTAGTTGAAAAAGTTGTTGATGTGTTTGTGAGTGTTAAGATGCCAGAGATGGTGTCTTTATCTTACCAAATATTAGAGCATGAATTCTACTTTAAGGAGTTGTGTTAGATGCTGAATTTGCAATAGATGAATAGCATAGACCCTGTCCTCAAAGATTAGGATCTGGTGGGTGTAGTAGATATGTAAACAGATAATTTCATTACGTTGAGGTATATGCAATGATAGAGATATTTGGGCATTTTTGAAATAGAAAGGAGAGCTTACTTTACTAGGGAAGGAGGCAGACTGGGAACACCATTCCTGAATAGAAGTTAATGCATGCATGATGTATTCCCATGCAAAGTTCCTCATGTTTGTAATTTTCTTCCTTTCACAGAAACATTAGAATTAAGATGAGTGAGAAAGTTGTTAGTGTAAGGATAACCTTGAAAACCCTCCGATCTGTCTTTACAAACTTCAGTACCTGTACTACTATTACTAACATACTACGTGTAATAACCACTATAGTAGGTAACAGTCAGCCGGTGGATAGTTTTAAACAGGGAAGTGACAGGATCCTGTTAACATTTTAGAAAGATCACTTTCATGATGGTAGAGAAGGTAGACCTGAGAGGACAGAAGCCTATAGAGGGCCTCTACTATGGCAGAGGTAGTAGGGACAGAGCAGAGGGGACGTGTTATTTCAGAGATAAAAAATCACTACAACTTGGCAATTGAAAGATTATAGGCTTTAGTTCTTAAACTTTGTTGCCCATCAGAATCACTTGGGAAGCTTTTAAACAATACCAATTCCTGGGCCTGATCTAGACTGACTAAATCAGAATTTTCGGGATGGAGTCTGGACACCAATATTTTTAAAAAGTACTTCATGATTCTAATGTGTAGCCAGTGTTAAGGACCACTCATTTGAGTTGTGGAGGAGACGGGATAATCAGAGGTGAGTACCAGCCTGCCGACTTAGGCTACTGGTAGATTGGGGTGGCGAGCCTTGAACAGTTTCTGTTCCAGGGTAGCTATTCAGATATTTTCTGATCTGAATGAAAATTGATGACTTTAAACACAAACCAAAATCAGTTCCTCATTTAATTTCTGGTCTAAATTTGAATGAATTGACCAGAGTTCAATATTTTATTCACTGCGGCCCAACCAAAATAGTTTCTGTCACATGCAAAATTACCTTAGAATAGATATTTATTGGTATGATTTGAGGAAAAGACATCACCAGTCAATTTTGAAGATGCTACAAATCACCTTGAGTTGTGGTGTGATATTGTGAAGCAAGGTGCCAATGAAAATAATTTGACTCAGTAATAGTGTGTTGTTATAAAAAATTAATGTTTCTATTCAGTGGCATAGCCAGAGATTTTGGGTCCTAACACTTGGTAAATGGACAGATATTCAGTAAGTGTTTATTGAATTGTAATGTTTCTTTAATCTACCAGAAGGGTGTAATATTTTCCGCACAATTTTTTCTACATTAATTGAGGAATGAAAGGCTGCATGTTTGTCTTTCCACCCCAGTCCCCCTTCCTCTGTCTGCGCTCTGCATGTGCATTGTCTACCTTTGCATTCCTCTGTTCCCACTGCTGTTGCCCTAGTGTAGTCAGGACTCTTGCTTCCAAATGATAGGAATAAAACTTAAACTAGCTTGAGCAGTAAATGGAATTTTTTGGTGCCTATAAGCAGCATCTGGCTTGGCTTGGTAAGGATCCTGAGATGTATACAGAATTGAAAGAAGGACTACAGGAACCAGGCCTTGGGGACTGGAATGGGGATAATACGCCACTAGAACCCGCTTTCATCTCTTCTTGCCTCTGCTTGGCTTCATTCATTTTTATCGCAGTGAGGCCTTTGCTGTCCTCAACCCCAGCCTCGCATCTGTCTGCTAGGTACCGTGAACCCAGAGGCAAGGCCATTTCTCCTCATGCTCTAAATTGGGAAATTCATTTGGACCAATCAGTTTGCCCAGAGAAAGGAGGGTACTGTGATCTGTCTGGTTTGGAGCTCATGCCAACCCCCTGTGGCCAGGAGAGGATAGGTGCGTGACTAAAGAAGAGACAGGAGAAGGAAGGCTTGTTGTGTGACCAAGACACTCACGTCACCGTCCTCTCTAAGGCTCTGTTACCCCAGCCTTGTGACGATTCCCCACTTTTCTCCAGCTGCTTACTGTTGTCGGGTTTGTGTTTCTGAACCACAGCTGACATCATGATTCCCTGGTTACCTAACTTAACGGCCCCTCACTGCCGCTAGCACATTGCTGTGGTGTGCTGTCCCGTTGGTTCTGACTCGCAGTGCCTCTGTAGGACAGAAACCCATAGGGTTTCCTGGACCGTGGTCTTTACGGCGTAAGGGGCCACGGTGGTGCAATGGTTAAGCGCTTGGCTGCTAACTGAAAGGTCTGCAGTTCAAACCCACCAGCAGCTCAGCAGGAGAAAAAAACCTGCCTATCTGCTGTTGTAAAGATTATAGCCCAGGAAACCCTATGGGGCATTTCTGCTCTGTCCTATAGGGTCTCTATGAGTTGGAATCGACTCGACGGCACACAACAATCTTTATGGGAGCAGATCGCCACGTCTTCTGCAGAGCCTCTGGGTTCGTTCAAACCACCGACCTTTCAGTTAGCAGCCAAGCAACTTAACCATTTTGCCACCAGGGTTCCTATTGCCTGTATAGCACGGCATCTAAACTTCTGGTTTGAGGTACATTCTATAATCTGACCCCAGAATACCCTTTCAACTTTATCTCTTAGTTTTCCTATTCACTGCTAAACTGAGCTAGCTGGCCCTCTAAGTTCTCCTAACACATGTATTTCTCACTGGGTCAGCCAAACCTTAAGTAAAAGTTTTGTGGTGGTAGTCTCCCTGTTTTATTTGTTTGATGTCTCAAAGAGCCTCCAAAGGCCCAAAGACTGAAGCATTTTAGCTGTTCTTAGATTCTGGTGAGATCTGTATCATTGTTGGCAAAGTGTACCAGCTTAGATTTTTTTTGTTGGTGGTGATACAGAGTCCACTTCTCTGTGCAGTCACTTAGGACAGGTAATCAGGGGGAAACGTGGCTTGCCAGTTAGGAGACTTTGGCTCTGCACCAATCTCACGGCATTTTCAGGAAAATCACATCATTTCTCAGTGGTTCGCTTTCTCGAGGGTCAGGTGAACGAGTAATACATGTGTCTATCCTTAAAAGCGGATTATGAGGCTCAAGTGAGGTAATAGCTGTAAAAATGTTTTGAAAGGTTAAATTGTACTATGCAAATTTAAGGTATTTAATTGTTTATTGTTTATATTTAGTTACCATGTTTTCTTGGATGCTTGACTGGAGAACCCAGTTTCAATAGTAATTAAATTTTGGAAAAATGTATGGGAAAGCATAAAGTAGCACACAATTTCAGAGTACTATTACTGTGAGTGCACTGTTTGGCTGAAGATAGGCAGCAGAGCTAAAACAATTAATTAATTAACAAAATATACTTAATTCTTCTTATGGACAAGGCACTGATTGTATAGTTACTGTGTATCAAACCAAGCCTGGCTATAAAAAATGGTTAAATTATGTAAGATTTCATCAGAGAATTAATTTATTTTATTCTCCCCATGGTTTATTGCTTCCCCATCCATGGAGCTGGATATTTAAAACTTAGATTCTAGGCATTAATATAGAATTTGAGTTATATCGAATTTTTAACAGTAGCCTTTTTGATACTTGCAATAAGCATGTTTTTGGACTTATAAATGGATGGACCTTTTTGAACACTTACTCAGTGATTAAAACTCACTCAAAATAACATCTTTAGTTAAGAAGCCTTTTCTAGATATCTACCAAATTCAAATTTGTTACTTTTTCTGTCATCTCTATAGTCTATTGCATCAGCAGACATGGATTTCAACCAGTTGGAGGCATTCTTGACTGCTCAAACCAAAAAGCAAGGTGGGATCACATCTGACCAGGCTGCTGTCATTTCCAAGTTCTGGAAGAGCCACAAGACAAAAATCCGAGAGAGCCTCATGAACCAGAGCTGCTGGGACAACGGGCTTCGAGGCCTGAGCTGGAGAGTTGATGGCAAGTCACAATCAAGGCATTCCGCTCAAATACACACCCCTGTTGCCATAGTGGAGCTGGAATTAGGGAAAAGTGGACATGTGAGTTTAACTATGATCAATTTCACTTGGTAAACTATCTTTTCCATTTGTTTATTAGAGGATATTACCCAGCTTATTCAAATTGATTTTATGTAAGTCATCTGTGCAGAGATAAGACTATGCAGAGGTAATAGGGAGAGACTCAGTTCTGTAGATTCCCTTTTCAGAGGTAGAATCATTTGAAAAACTTGGGTACTCCCAGTTGTGGACAGAGTCCGGAAACTAGGGTCAGGGTCTTGGCAGCCATCTCAGAAGAACAGAATGGGTCAACAAGGTGACGCCCAGAAGTTGGCCATTACCACGTTTTGGTTAGATCTCAGAATCCTTGGCACAGGGTCAGAATTTCCAAGGCAGTGATGGGGATGTGAAATGAAGATGAGGAATTGAGCTTAAAGAACACAGAACAAAACTCTCTCACCCAATCATCTTTATAGTCAAAATCAGATACAGAGGCAATGTATTTTAATTACATTAATGTACTCTTTGAAAGATCCTGAATATGCTATCTCTGTGTCTTAGCCCACAGACAGTTTTAATTTAACCATGATTATTTTTGAAACACGGCTGCTTTTCCTTGTAGTTTCTGCAATCATTGTAGCAGCTAATTTTAGCATCTGCATGTATTTTCTTGATGTCATTTTGTGCTCAAGATTACTGCCAGATCAAACTTTAAATGACCTGATTTATATCTTTTGGGAAAAAAAAAGAAGTATTGTAATTAGTAAGAGAAAAGCCAGATCACTGAATTAGCTAATCAGATTTATTTTCCGATAATCAAATGAGAGCTTCTATTACATCCTATTATAGAAATTATTTCTTTTCTTATAATGATGAGAGTATTTTCAGTTGGCAGTTTTCTTGACATATTCCCTTCTTTAGTTTCTTAGTATTTATAATTTAAAAGATAATTTGTTTTTAAAAATGATTCTTTTTCAAAATACATTTGGAGCACCTTTTATTCGGTTACTGCAAAATAGTGCTAATTGTACTTACTAATTGGTTTGTTTGACCCTAAAGTCATTCTCTTAACCGTTATGCTATATAGCCTGCCTCCTGTTGTTCTAAATAAAAAGTCTGACAGATTAGAAAGGTCTGTCTGATAAGTACACTTGGATAAGTTTCACCAGCCACTTGTACAGGTTGTTCATTTTTCAATCTAGCGATAATGATTTTTCACTTTCTCTTTTAAGTATTTAATGTTTGGAAAGAATATGAAATTGTACGTATCTATTTTGAGGCTTTTCAAGTAAGCTATCTTAGTATTTTTTTAAGCTGACATTTTCCAATGTTGCTTGAACTGGGGTTTAGAATATACCTGTTGATTTTAGTAGCGTACAGAACATGTGAATTTATTGAGTACTGTCACAGGAATTAATTCTGTATGGTTTTTCTCTGGTCTCATTAGCCAAAGGGGCAAAAAAAATTTTTTAACAGCATTATTTTTGTCAATCAGTAAATCTAAACATCACTACAGAGGATTTTCTGCCTAGTTTTAGAAAATTTTATTATTACCTAGGACAGAAGTTGGTAAACTTTTCCTAAAAGGTTAGATATTTTAAGCTTGAAGGCCAGACAGTCTCTGTTGCAAGTATTCAGCTTTGTTGTGGCTCCAGAGCCGCCACAGGCGTGCATAAATGGTCGGGATAGCTGGTTTCCTAGAAGCTTTATCTGTCTGGATAAAGACAATAAATCTGAGAAGCCAGAGAGTCCTTAAGAGATCATCTAGTTTACAAAGATGAATTATGTAGGTGAGATGGTGTATCTCTGCTTTCTAGAGAAGGTATTTGAGACAGATGAGTGACTTGCTCAGACATAGCTGATAAGTGGTGAAGTAAGAGCTAAGATGGGGATTACTAGACTGTTTTTTTCCCAAAAACCACTGACACCGACACTTGGGAACTTTTGTTGGCTTATCACGATAGTCTGTGCCAAGAAAACATGTGGATTGTATAATATAATATGGTAATCAAAAGCATTGATAGGAATAACACTCAGCAATAAAAATAAAAGAACTTTTGATACACGAAACAACATGATTGAATCTGAAATTGTTTGCCAAATGAAATAAGCCAGACAGAGTACGTGCCGTATGATTCCATTCATATAAAATCCTATTAAATGCAAAGTAATCTATAGGGACAGAAAGCAGATTAGTGGTTGTCTGGATAAAGGTGGAGGGTTGTGTAAAGACTTTTGAGGATGATAAAAAGTTTTGTTACGTTGATTGTAGCAGTGATTTCATGGATATATACGTATGTATATCAAAACTTAAATTACACACTTCAAACGTGCAATTTAATGTATATCATTTATACTTCAAAGTTGTGAAAAAAAATTTGGTCATCATGAAAATGATTTAAATTGTACTTTATCCCCCCAAAATTATTTATAATGCAAATGTTTTCTTATCTGAGAAAGGCTATAAAGACAGAAGTAAATAGCAATAGAACCTATGCTAGTAGTTAAAGCGCTTGGCTGCTAACTGAAAGGTCAACGGTTTGAACCCACCAGCCATTCCTTGGGAGAAAGATGTGGCAGTTGCTTCTGTAAAGATTTACAGCCTTGGAAATCCTGTGGGGGCTGTTCTACTCTCTCCTATTGAGTTGCTTTGAGTCAGCATTGACTTGATGGCAATGGGTTTGTTTTTTGGTTTTATGCTGGTAGTATGATCCCATTGCCATCAAATCAGTTTCGACTCATAGCAACAACCTTATAGGACAGAGTAGAACTGCCTCATAGGGTTTCCAAGGAGCAGCTGGTGGATTTTGAACTGCCAACCTTTTAGTTATCAGGCAACACTTGACCACTGCGCCACCAGTATGATACACAGCCTAACTCCTACAGGAAATGTTTTTATGAGAGCTGGATCCTTGGTAAGTATGTCTGTCGCTTCTAGGTGGGTGTTACTTATGAAATATTCCACTAAGTCAAGTTTACATTTTTAGAACAACTGTAGGCATCAGCGTCAAAGTTACTTTGACTCTGCTGACATTAGATGAGCTCATAAGAGAATTAATGATCCTAGGATATCAAGAAGTTAGTTCCAGGAAGGATGACCAGGTGCTTTAGTTTCATTGTGCTGCTATAGCAGAAATACCAAAAGGGGGTGGCCTTAGTAAACAAATTTATCATCTCACAGTTTAGGAGTCTAGACGTTCAAATTCTGTGTGCTGGCCCTAGGGGAAGGCTCTCTCTGTCCACTCTGGGGGAAAATCCTTGTCTCACTTTCACTTGGTGTTCATTGGAGATCTCCACGCGGCATTTGTGTTTCCCCCAGTCTTGCTTTTTGCTTGCTTCTGTGCCCAATCTGCTCCTTATATCTCAAAAGTGATTGGTTTAGACACACCTTATACTGATATGACCTCCTTAACATAACAAAGAAACCCCTATTCCCAAATGGAATTATATCCATGAGTATAGGGGTTAGGATTTACAGCACATATTTTTGGGGGTGCAATTCAATCCATAACATTCTTCCCTTCACCCCCCAAATTCATGTCCTTCCCACATGCAGAACACATTGACCCTCCCCGATGAGCCACAGTCTCATATCTCATCTTCTGAATCATTGAAACCAAGTGTGGGTGAGACTTTGGGCGTGTTCCCTCTTGGGGCAAAATTCCTCTTCATCAGTACAAGTGTGAGACCTAGAGTACAAGTTATCTGCTTCTGAAAAGCATAAAGGTGGAACAGGCACAAGCTAGACATTCCCATTCCAAATGGGAAAAATCACGAGTTAATACGCAAGTCCACAACCCAACAGAGCAAGTTTCATTAGCTCTCAAGGCTTGAAAATAATCTGGTTTTCTGGGACCAACTGAACCATGACCCCACCCTCTAGATTCTGGATGAAGGCCCTTGTCCCTGAATGTCAGCCCTGCCTTCCTGGCCCTCTGGTATGGCAACTCTGCTCCCTCAGCTTTGGGCAGCCCCATTCTAGTCCATCTGAGTGGCGACGTCACCCGCCTTGGCCCCACCTGGCTCTCTTCTTCTAGCCCTTGAGCATGGCTCCCTTAGCTTTGGGTAGCAGCCTCATTCTTTTGGCCCACCTGACTGGCAGCCCCACACTCCGGAACCGAGTTCATGGAGATCTGTCTCTTTGAAACCCAGGAGCAATTTTTCCACCCTTTGAAATGGTGGTGGTGGTGGTTCCACCCTTTGAAGTGGAGGCAGCCCTGCCCACCGTGGCCTCTTCAACAGTTCTGCAGGTCCTCAAATTGTTCCCACGATGGTGTAATCCTTTTCTTGGAGGACAACAGTTGTTGCAACCAAGTCACTGCATTGACCCGTTTCCTGCCTGTAGAATTCCAGGAGGTGGCAGCTTTTCTTAATTTTGTACTGTCTTGTCTGTCCCTTTATGCTGCAGTGGTTGAACAGATCCGTCAATCACAGGCTTAATCTCTTAAACAAAAGATTGAGTAGACTTGCCCTTGGTGAATGTTTTTCCAGGGCACTTTTCCTTAGTTTGTACAATAGAATTTTCCAAGTCTTTAAGTTCCGGTTTCGTTTTACACAGTTCATTTTTTAAGTCTATCTTTTTCTCTCACATTTTACTATAAGCGACAAGGAGAAGCCACAAGGCCCCTTTAAGATCTTCCTTAGAAATCTCCTCAGTACTTGATAAGTTACCAGTTGAAAAGAGACATTTGGGTGTTTATCTTATGTAAGAATTGTATAATAGTAAGTAGTAGTGAATATTTTTGATGTATTGAAAATGATGAGATTATTAACATAGTACTTGTTTTTCTTAGCCAAGTCTGTTTAATATTTTATATACAGTAATGTTTTTGCATTTATTTTGGTCTTAAATGAACAGCCTTATGAGATTTCATTTATTTGACCCATCGACAACATTTGGCATACTTGATGAATCTCTTATTTGGGTTTGAAATACTTGTCTTTCAGGACACCACATTTGCCTGATTTTTTTTTTTTTTTCCCCTTTCTTTTGCCCCTCCTTGTTTTTTTCTTTTCTCTCTTTCTTTCTTTTTTAAAAATAT